TTTCATTTGCATTTAAGTCAGAACATGGTAAAAAAATGAAACTACCCGTTGAAAAAGATGAAATACAAGGTGTTGCGAAACACTATGTAAAAGGAGTGCTGAAATATATAAGGTAAACATTTGCACCCTTTCGCAGCTCCATCCTTACAGACCGTAATAGACGCTGCTGATGTACGATCAAAGATCGCAGGTCAGTAACGTCTTGTTATAATATATGAACTACTTTCTTATTGCATTTCTGAAGGACTAAGTAAAAGGATGGTGAAGAAATCGCTTTTAAAGATTGGAATCGTATCGAAATTGGAAACACTGGTATGGTTTCGATTTTCAATGTGGAATCACCCATTCCTATGTGTATGATCAATTTTGAGCGACTTCGAAGCACATCACTTTTTAGTGCTTCTAGTCTGACAGAGTAAAGAGATGACATAGACTACTGATATTTTGTTCTAACTGCTCAATGGTTGATTGATTGATCTAGTTAGTAGTTGTTGATTTTCTGTGAATAGAATCGATCGATATAAAGTTAGTTGTATTTCTTGTTGAATGGACGTCGATGAGTGTGGAGTAAATCCGCAGCTGCATCCACAAACCCATGCCTACACCAATTGTTACTTGGATGATTGTATTTCTTAGAAATGGCTGAGGATCGAGTTTACCCTAATTGTAAGTTAGAATTCTAGGGAACTCAAAATTCGACCATAGAGTTTTCAACAACAATGAAAAATTTTTGGATTAAATATCAGTTAGTAATTTATTCATTTTTTCATAGAAATTATGCAGAATGGTTACAAAATAGTAATTGTCACTCGATTTAGAACATGGAAAAACGATAAAAATTAATTAGAATGTTGCTGTATTCTGTACAACTTTAAAAAAGAAAAAGAACTTTAAACATTCGAGAAGTTCTATTCTTAACGATCTTTCATTCATCGTGTTCCAGAATATTCGCTAATTCGATTTATTAATATATAAATCTTTTAGACTTATTTAAAGTCGAACATTTGCTACTTTTAGTCAAAGATATATTGTTACCACGAAGTTCTTTTGCTAAAATTAACTTAACGTTATCTAATAAATACTGTTTTTTCTTCTTCTTTCATATATGAAAAGAAATTTTTATTTGGGCATTTATATATCATAATTCAATGCAAATCGAGAAACAAAAAAAAAAAACAAATTGCTGGGTTATACAAGAAAATAGATATCAAATCAAATACTAAACCTATTATAATTCAAAACCTACTGTCAGATAAACACAAACATATTAAAAAAAATAAATAAATAAGAATGACTTTCTTTGTTTCAATTTTCACAATTCAAAAAAATAAATGAAACGGAATAAGTTAATCTATATACATTAATTAGCGCATTGATAATACTGACGGTAGTTTAATACCTCTACCTATTGTTTGCGAAGCTTCTAAAACACATTTCGATAATTGTGATACATCAGCAACACGTGCATGCACCATGGCAACATAGCTTTTGTTGTCTGAACTATGTTTAATCATAAGCCTTCGAGCAAGATAATCATCAATTAATGAAACAGATCCAACACGTACATAATCTATTTGCGACGGAAGATAAACTTCAATAGTTAAACGTAATGATTCATATGATAAAAGTTCATATGATGGTGAAAGACATACACGTAATGGTAAATTTAAACGATGATAAAAACTAGTTATAATTGTAGCTAATTGAATATAAATAAAATCAATACAATTTGACTTTAAGTTTACTTCATTTGGATTTATGGTTGCTGAAGTGGAAATAGATTTTTTAAGCATATCTTCAAAATTTTTTGCTCGTTCATCACCAGCTTTATGGTGATCATCAAGGAGTAAATGTTGTGAATGTTCATTTGAGAATGCTATGAAATAAAGAAAGATTAAATATTAAAAAAATTATTTTTTATTAAGATGATTTCTTTTTTGTTTTAGTTACAATAGTTTCAGTTTTCGAAATAAATACGCATTGCAAAAACAAAATTCCAATCAATTTAAATCTTATAAATTTTATTATCGAAAATCAAAGTTAATGTTGAATAATAGATAATTCCTAGTAGTAAGCACAAAGACAAGTGTTGTCTAACGATGGAAGGTCGCCAAGTGTAAGTCTACTTTTTCAATCGATTTTATGTCACTTTGTAGAACTCGATGAACTGATCACGACAGCATAATGTGTTCTTTTCCATTGACTTTTGGTGAGGAATTAGGTCGAACTTAACTCTTGAAAAATGACTGCAAACTGTTATTTTTCTAAAGCAAAGATTGATCTAATTCCTCAAAAACAGTCTATGAGGAAGAACATATTACGCCATCGTGATCAACTCATCGAGCTCTACAAAATGGCTTAGAGCCGATTGAAAATGGAGACTCATACTTGAAGATTTTCTTTCATAATAGAAATACTCTAACATTCTCCTCTGGTTATGCCCACTCTAGTAGGCTTAAAATATTGAGAAAAAGCCTGGTTTCATTGTAGAATGATAATATAGGCATAGTGCAGGATTTTTCGCTATTCGTTGATCGAGCCCAATCACTGAAAAGCTTTAACAATAATATATAAGCTTGAGAAACTGTAGAAGCAAATTAAAATTTACTTAAAATATCGACTTTTCACTACAATTCTACAAAAAACACTTCAACTTTCCAGAACAATCCGACAGTGTCATTTTGATCTAATACTACTAACATAAAGGTTTCAAATAAACAAACTAGTCTACTCAAGATCTTTATATGAATCCAATTCAAGATTAAATTCCAAAAATTTCATTTTACTAAAAAATTGAAATGGTGCAACATCAAAACTGTTTCACAAAATAAATATTTCAGTCAAATTATAATCTATGCCGATATTCTCTCAAGTCTTCTCTAGTCTGTACATTCACTACTTCTGGCACTCTTTGTACGTCGCAATTAAGTTAGATTGAATTTTGTGTTGTTTCAGAAAGTATGATTCATGAGTTTTACATATGATTGAACGTGCGTTAAACTTTCCAAAGATATTATTAGAAATACAAAGTAGTTCTTTATTTCGTGTTCGAACCAAAAAAACGTCGGAAATGAATATTTCTTGGAACGATACAATTTTCTTTTGAGAATAATAAAATAAATAATTTTACCGAGTAATTCAATACATGATGATTGCCCTGAATGTGGATTATAATTTCGTCCAATGGAATAAACATAATAAGGTAAAGAATTCTTTGGAAAATTTGTACGTATAAAAGGTGATACTATTCCCAGTGGTGTTGATGTTCCAAATAAATGTAAAAGTTCAACACTATTTTCATCATCATCATGTTCAGCTAATTTTATTTTTAAAAGAAAAAAAATACATATATAATTTTATTTCAATTTATTTTTCTTGTTTTCTTACCAACAATATTAAATACATTTTTAATATCGGAAAAATGATAACCAAATGCTTCAATGACAAATGATTTAACAACATTAACAGCTGAACAAAATTGCATATTATATGCATCAAGACTTTTATTAAAATAATTTAATAAAATATATTCTAATTGAGCACTAAAATAAAACAATCAAATTAAAAAAAATTCTATTATTAACATACAATTCACCAAATGCAAATGATGAAAATGGTGCAGCATCAAGTGATGTTACTTCGGCTAAATCACGCCATGATCTCATTGTTAAACTTGATTTTCTTTGACTACCATATTCATATAATAATTTTCGTGTACTTGTTTCAGATACGGCACCATGTAATGGTGCAGGTAAACGTAAACATGCAACAAGAAATTTTGCATTAAGAGAATATAACTGTTCACCCCATTGATGTAATTCTTCAAGCTAAACTCAGAAAATGAATAAATAAAATAATTTCATTTGTTTTTATCTACTCGTGTTCGTCGTGTTGTTGCTTCAGCTATTTGTCTATTTAATTTTTTCCAAAGTTGATAATCATGTTCGACTTTTTTAACATCAACAATCCAATGTCTTCGTTGAAGATTTTCTTGTAACTGTTCATGACTTTTAAATAATAATTCTAAATCAATATCGGGTTCAACAACAATCGGAAATGGTGTATTTAAACCACCAGGTAATAAAGCTGAACGTTCTTTATATTGTGGAATACGCTCAGCTATTAATGTACGACGAATTGCATGAAGAAAAAATTTTGTTTGTCGACGAACGATTATCATATCTAAAAATATTTTTCAGATTTTTATTGATAATTATGATAACAATGAAACAGATTTATAATGAATATGATCGATTAAAATCAATGTTTCTAAGTATAGATATATATATTAACAATTATATAAACATTGATGATTATGAAATAATAAGCATGAATGTAAAAGAATTAGATAGATTATTTAAAAAACAAAGAAACTACATAATCCCAATAATATTAAATATCGAAGACAGTCTTCAAAAGAAAGGTTATACAGCAAATAGTCATTATTGACAAATATCTCTCATTAGAAATTTATTTATTGAGGAAAATCAATTGTTAAAATAAATGAATGCAAAAATAAGAAAAGAGATTCTTTTCTTTTTCTTGCATTTTTACATAAATAAATTTTCCAGTTGTTATATGAGAATGAAATTTTAGCGTAAAAATTACATTGGTGAGAATAACGTTACACTGATCTACAGTTACTTACAACATCATCGATACGATCAACAACATCGAACAAAGTAGAAAAATCATTCTAATGAAAAAAAAAAAACGGAAGATTATTAAACATTAATTTCCCTTATTGATTGGTTTTTGAACCCTAATTTAACTTTTCATTTCAGAATGGAAAAACAAAAATTGAACTATTTCCGATTATATACTTTTTAAATAAACATATATTGCTACAAAAAAAAACATAACAGATCTTTCTTCTTTTTCTGATTCTGACAAAAAGAAATTTCAAGGAATATACACTTAGAAAGAAAGAAAAAATTTAGACGCAAGGAAGACAAAAAAGGACATACTAAATGCACATAAATATATAATACAACAAAAAATTAATCGATTCTTCGACGTTTTAAATTCGTATTTATTTGAGAAAATATTTCATTAGACTTTTTATTATCTATTTCAGTTGATATATTATCATATGCTAAAATAAATTGATCAAGTCGTTGTACTAATGCATCATTATGTTTTCGTATTTCAAGTAAAATTTGTTCAGATTCTTTACTTTTTTTTTCAAGATATTTTAAACGTCTATGATGATCAATTAAAGATTTTGTACGCATATGTAATAATTGTTTATAATGTTTCATTTGATATTTTTGAGATTTAATAACAAAATTTTGTTTATAAATTCGATTATTTAATATATCAATTTGTCGACGAAGTATTCTATTCGTTGATCGTTTACAATAATGCGATAATGAATTATTACTAGTTGTTGAAAATGTTGAAACATTATTGCGAATAGTTGTTAATGAAGTAATACGTATTGATTGTAATTTTGGTTTAATTTGTTCACGAAAATGTTCAATTGCCATTGATGACATATCACGTGTTTCTTGTAAAAGTGTACATGGATTTGGAAATGATTGTTGTGTTTTTAAACGATCTAATACTGAATAAATTTCATCGAGTAACTAAAAATTAATTTAAAATTAAATTTTCGAATATAATCAAAGAAATTATCTTACTCGACCCGGATAAAAACAACAGTATGAATTTTGTATGACCGAACCAAATGTTAATTTAAGCCATTGAATACGAGAATCAAGAGAAGATATTATATCAAATTTTGTTGATAGAGGATGCTAAACAAAAGAACACATTATATTCAATGTTTAATTACTATTTGAAAAGAAAGAAAATTATCATTTGTCAACATCATTGAATTCATGTATAGACGATGCCATTCACTAGCGACATGACTTTGCAAAATAAAAATGTTTATATCTCTGGACTTGAGCATTTCATTTAGCTAAGAGTTTTTATTAAAACTTCAGCATTAATGACATGACACCAAACAAGACAAAGGTTTTCACTGAATTCGCCCATATAAAATATGTTTACAAAAGTAAATCATTTGAAATACATACTGAACAATTATAGCGTAATCTAGTAAATGTCAAATCTCAATTTATTTTAGTTCGAATTTTCTTGTAATTTGACTTCTGTAAAAATTGATCATCGATATTGACTACACCGAGAAAATCGTAAGTACTCCATCTAATTCCTTAGCAGAAATATACTCTCATAGATATATTTCCTTTTCAAATAACATGTTACAAGAGAAAACAAAATCGTATGTAACAATAAAAATTTTTCTTAATTAGAAGTAAATCTTATTTAAATGAAATAGGCATGCATTGAACCTAGACATTCGGATTTGGTCTTGACTGAAATCATTTTCAGTCAATTAATAAAAGGAAGTAGAAGTAAGTCAAAAGAATAGACTTCAGATTTGACTATGATAAATCTATCCGCAGTGGAATAAATGATTTAAAAACCGAAGATCTGCAGGCATACTACTAAATGTCAACAATATTCAGAAATACTCTAACATGAACTTAACTAAACCTTAGAATGTTTTCATAATTACTAATACATCCTCAAGAAACGTCTGTACAATAATCCAATCCTGAAGACTGAGCAAGAATTCGATACATGTCAAAAATGAATAAAATCTTTCTTATTTTTCTTTTGTTTTCTACTTACCTTATGTCGTTCCGATTCTCGTCGTGGTAATTTTGTTTTAATTTGTTTTTGTAAATCATGAATAATTATTTCAAGTTGAAAATAACCTCGATTAAGTTGTTCTGAACATAATCTATGAAAATGTTTCGATGTTGAACGTAAACGACTTAATTCTGCATATGAAAATGATTTTATTATTTTTTCTTGTACAAGTAACGGTAAGTCCGTGAAAGACAAGGATATATTTGTTGCCATCTAAAATGCAAAACATTCATAAAAGTTTTTTTATCTATTTCTTTCATGATTGTGATAGAGTAATGTTGAATAAATTCTTCAGATATTTCCATATTACAAGAAAAAAAAGAATATTTCCTTCTGAATAAGCCTAAAGTGCATAATCATAAGCCGATAATGATAACCATTATCGACATTGATAACTTTTTACTAATTAAAAACATTGATGATAACATAAAATAATTAATCACTTACAGAAAAAATAGTGTTCTTTTTTAGACTAGAGTAATCGACAGAAATATAACACAGAAAAACGCTTGCATAATAGATCAAAGAAAAAAAGGAAGCATAGCAAACAAGAATTTCAGTTGAATTCGATCAAGTATTTTGAGCAAACAAAGATGATTGACGAATTAACTTAATTAATGTATCATACGTCACGAATGAAACACCTACAGATATAGGTCCTTTCATCCAATTCATTGTTACACCTTTATATAGACCACTTGTTATACCTTCTTCACGAATAATTTTACGTGCTGTTGCTATGGCACCAAGTGTTCTTTCATTAGGTCGTATAACAGCAGCAGTTTGTAATCGTCGCCGAACAACATCAAACGGATACGAAACAGTTTGACCAATAAGACCAGATATAGCTCCAAATAACATTCGTTCTGTTTTATTAATAGGACGATGAGAATGATAATCTTATTGAGAAAAAAAAATTAACGAAAACTAAGTTTTTTTTCATCTTGTATATTTTCTTACCTAAGCGAATATTTTTAAGAGATTCATAAGTAAAAAAGACACAACCGGAATAAGGTAATACGCCAATCATTGATAATAGTGCGCCTCGATATAGAGATGCAACACCTTCGGTTCGTAGAACAGTTACAAAGACGGCGTATAAATTAGTATACCTATATGAATAAAAGAACATCATTCATTATAAAAAGAATTCTTATATTAGATTTGCTGTTAAGTATGATCCTATGTAAACTTTTCGCTCATAATAAACCTTGAAAATAATCTAAATCTGTCATTTATTTAATTATTCTTCGTTTAGATTCGAAAAATTGTTTCTGAATCTATTATTAGTTACTCAAATAGACAAAATATATTATATTATTGAGCATAGATTACCTATTTTTTTCTGTTTCTCTTCATTTGCCATGCTATTTAGTTAACAATGAATTAATTTATTTCACATTTACTGAGCAAAAAGAAAGATGAATCTGTACAATGGTCTTTATTAACAATCTGCTCAATGGTACTAACAGATGACTGCAAAAGAAAGATTCTCTCAGTATTTTTCATATTTTTCAGCAGCCTTTCAACATAACAGGACAATTTTTTGTTTTGATAGATTCTTCGTTCGATTCTCTACAAAGTTGCATTTTCAAAATTTCTTTATTCATCAAGCTTTTGACATTGAGCTTTGTGAATAATTTTATCAGTCTTTCTCTTAATCGTAGAAGATTTCAATCAATTATCAGTTCGCAACTAACCCTGATGGAGCTTTTAGAGAAATCGAAGACTTAACTATTACTGTTAATCAATAAGATAAAAATTGGCATAATTCCTTTGAAATTCTATATATATATATCACTATTTTTGGCGTTCTTGTACTATTGCTTCGAACGAAGAGAACGTTGCTTTTTTGAAAAACAAACTATAGGTGAGTTTCTTCTAGATGCGGAAGATTATTAATATTCTTTCTTTTTTTTTTTTGAATAATCAAAAGCGCACAAATACTCAAGATGACCATATACACAAAACTTCATACAAATTGTATCAATTTCTATCTTATTGATTAACAAGAGCAGTTAAGTCTTTGGTTCTTCTAAAGAACTCATTAGGGTTAACTTTGAACTATTCATTGATTGAAGTTCTGTATATTTAGGAAAAAGACAAACAAACTAACTCACAAAGCCTAATACAGAAGGCTTAATAAGAAAAAAAAGAATTTTGAAAGTGATGTTATTCTGATTCCATTCGCGTTTCATTAGTTCTAAACAAAAAAAGTACATTGTTCCATTTAATTGAAATATGCTAATTTGTAGAGAATCGACCAAAGAAATTACCAAAAATAAATCGCTCCAGAATGTTGAAACACTGCTGAGAACTATGCAAAAATAATACTGAGAGACCCATTCTTTGTGGGCTATCCATTACAAATTTATATTCGTTAGTCCCTAAGGTAAAAGAGCTGAAGAAATAATATTGGTTTGCATTAGTTTTTTTCTACCTCTTAAAAGTCATAATGTCTGGAGAAGTTGTAGACGCTCACTTTTGTTGTACATGGTGCTACTAATAATGTTTGAACCGATATTTTAAAAATTCTGTATTCAATTGAAAGTTTTGATCAAAAGCCTTTTTGTTTTGTTGCTATAAATTTCTCGACTATTATTCATATCAACGAATGTTCACTTTTCCATGCAAAATTGATTTTGATGGCAAATTACTTTCATTTAAGAATATAATTAGACAGAAAAAAATAATGGCATGTCATTAGTAAATTTTTCAAATAAAATGCTGAAAATAACATACACAGTTTTGTTAGTTACTGCCATACGAGCTCTTGCTAAATCAAGTGGATAAACAATAGTTGATGATGTAAGACCAGCTAAAGAACCAGCAATAAACCGACGACCAGGTGTTTTTCTTTAAATATAATATTAATCTATTTGATAAAAAAATATTGTTCATTTTAATAGATATCTTACTCATATTTATCTGTAGCAAGCAGACGTTTCCATTGTTCATGAGCTGTAAAATAAATGGCTGCAGCAGGTATAACACGAACTAAATTAGCTGAATTTCCTCGATATAAACTAATAAAACCGTCATTTCGATATGTATCTCGTATAAATTTAAAACAAACGCTATAACTAAATTTATCGGGTCTAACTAAAAGAAAAATTAGTTGACAATAGTTTTTGTTTTTCGATAACTTTTTTAACCTTGAAAATTAATTTTAGCTCGATCAAATGGCGCAATTGTTGTTTTAGCTGTAGCACCTTAAAAAAACATAAACAAGTCAATAATTAAATTAAAATTAAATGTTCTCCTTGATTTTCTTATTTATTTTACCTGCACAACCACCGGCAACTAATGAAGTTATAACTTTTTGAGTGTTGGATAGCTGAATTAAAAAAACAAAAATGCAGAACAATTTAAAAGCGAAGTCTTGATATTATGTTTTTTTTTTCTCATACAGATGTAGTTTTGTTTTGATCCTTGTTCATCTGTATAGAAACTATTCTTCATGTTTTGAAATGTAAGACATCAATTATTAATTATCATTTACTAGAATACAAGAAAAATTGAACTATCTAGAAAAGAAAAGAATCAAATAGACTCAGCAGATATTCGTGTATAGAGAAAACAAAAGAAAATTCTCAAATCTATTTGATTTATAATTCAAACTAAAGAAACATTTAAACGAATATTAATTTAAATTTGTTAATATTCTATGCATAACCAATTACAACCATTTTGTTTTGTTCTATTCACATCATTTAAGCATTATCAATAGTCTTCAGGATAACTAAAAATAAAGAATATAATCGTAAATTAAGAATTGTGTGTATGAGTATATATGTAGTTGTAATAGTCGTAAAGATCAAAACATCAAACGAAAAATATCATGGAAAAGAAGCAACGTACGCATATCAACGATTCACCACTACCAACTCCACAGGAAGCTGCAGCTAGTCTTGATCCATTAGTTCAACCGATTAATGATCAAGATGGTGCACCGGTATATATTCGTCGACAATCATCCGTGTTTTTTGTACCTATTAGTATAGTAAATGAAAATGAGGAAAAAATTACTGAAGAAAAGAAATCAAATTTTATTACAAAATGTTTAAGTTATATGGAACGTTTTTCAGGTATTTTATATTCTTTATGTGCGTCATTATTATTTACATGTTCAAATTTTGCATTAAAACAATTTAATATTGTTATACTTGATGTTCTTGTCATTCGAATATTTGTTCAAGTATTATTATCACTTGGATTTATTATTTATAAAGGTTATAATCCTTTTCATGATGGTAGTGGATTATTAGTATTTATACGTTCTCTTTTTGCTGCTGCCGGTAGTATTTCCTTTTATCTTGGTTTATCTATTCTTCCTCTACCAGATTTAACAACAATTCGATATACACAAGTTGTTTGGACAGCACTTCTCGCTTTATTTATATTTCATGAACGTATTACTTTACCAACTATTATAGCATGTATATTAACACTTATTGGTGTTGTATGTGTTGCTCAGCCAACATTTCTTTTTTCACAATCAAAAATACAAAATGAAACATTAGAAAATATATTAACAGATAATAAAAATAATAATCATTTATATGGCATGTTACTTGCAGTTTCATGTGCATTTTCAATTTCCATGAGTATTGTTTTAAATAAAAAATTACTTCAAAAAAATGTTCGACAAAGTATAATAATGTTTTATTTTTTATTAATGACACTTATTTTATCTGTTATAATTCAAATTTATTATTTGAATTTTTCGAAAACAAAACATTTAAAATTTAATTTTGAAACAATTTTTTTTAAAAAAGATTTTATATTTGCAACAATTATTGCTATATTACAATTATTTCCAATGATATTATCACAAAAATCAATTAAACGTGAACATCCATCAATTGTTACAGTTGTACAATCATCTGATATACTTTTTGCTATTATACTTCAAAATGTATTTTCATCGATTAAAACTAATTTACTTGAACTGATTGGATCAACACTTGTTCTTACCAGTATTTTTATTGTTGGTGGTCATAAGCTTTGGTTAGATAGACAAAATCGTACTTATATACCAACATCAACAGAAGAAAATGTACTTAAAGTTGAAACAAAAATTAATAAATAATTTTTCTTTATTGCTCTAACTTATATGATTTGAATAAATTTCATAATAAAAAAAAAATTTGACTATTTTTGCTGCTAACGTCAGTCAAAAGTGCATGCGCTGACAACATGACTATTTCCGTAGTTCAAAAAAAATGCGGCAAGTGCAAATATTCATAGCATCAAAAGAAAAGAAAGTACATTAATTGGTCTGACAGCAGATGTTGGTTTTTTTTTGCATGCGGAGTTCGCAGAAAAAGAAAAGAATGAGCTGAAAAAAAAGACTCGTACTATATTATGGTAAAGCAAAAGAAGCAACAGAAAGAATTGATTGTATCATGAAACAAGACGTGTATGCCAATGATGATAATGTACCGGTTGACCCTACACTAACAAGCAAAGATGTGCCAACCGATGAAAATATTGTTCAAAATATTGATCCATTAATTGAACCATTAATCGATACAGATGAATTAGAAGTAAATGAAAATGATGATGAAAAATTTACTAAACTAGAACGACGATGTTCATTAATTTTAAGTATTCATTCTCATCGATCGAATGAAATAAATTCATTTTCTCAAACAACTCGTCGATGTAAAGGAATATTTTATGCACTTCTTGGTTCATCTCTTTTTACATGTTCTGGTTTTATGATAAAACAATTACGTGTGGATTTTTTTGATGCATTACTTTGCCGATTTATTGTACAAACATTTATTCTTACTATATTTATTGTTTACAAACGATATAAAATAATACATGGTTCATTTAATTTAATTCTTCTACAAATTATTCGTACAATTTTAGCTTCAAGTGGTTTATTTCTCTTTTATTCAAGTTATCGTTATATTCCATTACCAGATTTAACAACATTTCGATATACACAAGTTATTTGGACAACAATTCTAGCTATGATTATTTTACATGAACGTATATCAATACCAATTGTATTAGCTATTATATTAACATTAATTGGTGTTGTATGTGTTGCACAATCAACATTTCTATTTGGTAATTATCGACAATTATCTGATTTAAATGAAACTATAAATAAAAATGTCGATGATATTGATTTGGAATCTAATAAATCTTATCGATTTTTAGGACTTTGTCTTGCACTTGCTTGTGCATTAGCAATATCTGGTAGTATTGTACTTAATAAAAAATTATTAATATTAAAATTTCCTCAAAGTATTCTTATGTTTCAATTTTCATTTTTAAATTTATCTATACTTATTATTAATCAAATACGTAATCGTTTTATTCTTCATTTGTATACAAATCATTCAATGTTTACTTGGCAATTTTTTCTAGCTGCATTTGTGTCATTAATACAATTATTTTCTTCAACAATAACACAAAAAGCAATTAAACTTGAACATCCATCGATTATTTCTGTTACACAATCATCCGATATATTATTTGCTATTATACTTCAAAATTTAATTGCTAATGAAAAATCAAATTGGCTAGTCATACTTGGTTCAATATTAGTAACAACAAGCATTTTTCTTGTAGGAATTCAAAAATTTTGGACTGATCGAAATAAATTATTACACGAAATGAATAATAATTCAAAAGAATAAAACTAGAAATTTTCTTAATTACGTCAATTTAATTAATCTACCTGTAATGATATTTATTTGTTAGATAATTTCGACGTTTGATAATTAAGTTTGATTGTTCTTTTCTAAATGAAAAAAATCTTTTTAAATAATATTTCCTAGAAAAGTTTTTTTTTTTTTGAAAAGAAGACAAAATCCAAATTCATATTGATGACATAAAATGTCGGAGCAACTTGAATTTCTACATTAGAGAACTGTCCTAAATATATCACTCATCATTCATAATTTAAGCGAAACTACTCTGTTTTCTGAGAAATAATTTATAGTATTTTTCATTAAATATACAACGCATAAATACTTCAATTATATTCTCATAACATACCAATTTTTAATTATATGAAACAAGAATCTTATTATGTTCAAGATTCATTTGATTGCTTGAAATCAATACAAACATGATAATCATATGCATTTGATAAAATCATATTACATAAAAATCTAAAATACATCAGACACAAGTAATTCATACATGGTAGAAATCGTTTTGATTTTGATCATTAATACATAGAAAAAGAGCAGCAGTGAGCACTAAACTATGAAAATTTATTATAATAAAAGATATGACTAAACAAAAAATTATCTTGACATATTTGAAGAAAAAAGACTTCAAAAACATGTTGACAGAGAATAAAAAACAGTTCAGATAAATAACATTAGCATTAAAACAAAAACAAACAAAAGAAAAAACATCTAGCTATAAGCAGCAGTAAGCCGTTGGAAAAGCGTTTCATGTTGCAGTGGATCATTATTATCAGACATTGTTGTTGTAGTTAATCGCATAGCCAAAAAAATGTATGCACCAATAAATTCATGTATGCATTTACTTTCAACACCATACAATGGTAAAAAACGTATTGTTTCACCATCAAATTCAATTGTTACTAATTTATTTTCCCAATTAACATTCCATGCACGCATTCGAGATATCCACCATGTTTTTAATGTATCACCTGTTAATGTCATACGTAAAAGACGATTCGAAGCAATACCAAGTAATTCCTATATATGAAGAAAATAATATAAAGAAAAATTTTCTTTTATACTTACTTCTTTTTTATTTGAATCTTTAAATTTAACAATAAATGTTGTTATACCAAATTCAGGTAAAGCTTGCCATGCTTTTAAATAACGTAATTTAGCTTCTGTACCATCTAAATTACTAACAGTGGCATGGGCTTCAAGGATCCGTTCAGTTAACTAAAAATAGAATATGTCATTGTTTCTTTGTATATTATAGCCGTCTTCATTTAGACAAATACAAAAGTTAATCTCAATGTGGAACACTGTCTTGAAATAGTTCGCGTATGACAGATCGATATCAGAAAGAACATCCCTATATATTAACTACCTTGTGGTATATGGTACTGCCTAACGGCATATTCAATAGCTCAATATCTTTTCTATAGCTATGATCAGCTGTAGCTTTGGACAGAAGCCTTGCTTGACGCAGAGTTCTTCAGCTCTCCATACACATTAACTAATTATATGAGCAAGTGTATGTCACAATGTAGTCAACATGATAACGGACAGGTGATTCGAGACCAATAGCGATGCTAGTGACTTATTCATGATCATGGCAACTCAGATCGATATTAATAATAGAACTTTTTGTTCTATAAATTAAAAAAGATAAATCATGTTGTTCGCGTCAAATGTTCATTCTTATCGTTAAACTAACGAATTAAAATATAAGCTATTCTCATTCATATTTGCATATAATCATCAAGTTTTTAAGGTTATGAATTTTGAGAACCTTACTAAAAAAATATTCACTATAAATAGAATAAGCTTTATCTTGAGCGGCTAACATTTTGAATTTGTTCGTTCGACAGTAAGTTACACTATGATAGTTTTCAGATTTTACAATAAGTCAAACAGATTGATATACATGAATTCATCAACAAAAGTTAACAAAAAAATGATTTCTTCTGTGAGTTTTTTCGCCATACTGATTTCATTATTCTTCAACTGAGAAACAAGTTCATTCAGATAAATATAAAAAGTCAAACTCTTATAAATTTCCTCTTTTTGATTATTAAGAATTTGAGATATGTGTATATTACGTACGAGGGAAAAATATAGAAATTGACTGTATGCTCCCATATCAGCTAGTATCTAAAATAGCATCTATTAACACTGATGTCATCAAGAGCACTTGACTAAGAAAATTTATATTCTTGATTTGTATGCGCATGTGTGTTTGTGTGCATGTCTTGTTTTTTCTTTTCTGTTCGTGTTTTCTCTGTATTTGTCAATGGATTATGCATTTCATCGTCTAATGTCATGATCTACGTCATTTCTTTTCTTGCTCCTTGAGAATCATAGAACATTTCACAAGCGTCTTCTTGCTCTATTTTTATTAATTATTGCGCAGTTAGAAAAATAGATGCATGACGTCAAATATCGTAGTTTTCATTGACCTTATTTTAAATAGAAAAGGTTTACTCGAGTTACCTCCCTTATGGTCTTTTCGTTCTTTATCTATTTCTTTTTGTGTTGCTGTTGTCGTCTGTATAGACATGTATATTCCAATTGAGAATACAAGAGACCCTTTTTCATAATAAATGGGTCAGATTGATTCCAAAAAATATAGTCTTATTCATCTGATTACAATATTACAAAGAAGAATCTCTGTAACAATCATATTCATGTATTTACAAGCCTTATAATCTCTATTTGATTATAGTAACAGTTGAATAATATTTAACAAGTTTCGTTTAATGAAGGAAGATTTTGAATGAGTGTTGAAATATAAGAGTAGAATTTTGAACCCCTCTTCCGCCCCCCCCCCCCCCCCCCCCCCCCCCCCCCACCCCACTCCCGGCCGACACGCCTATGCAGAACCTGCGCCACCGCTCCCAG